GTCACGCGCTAAAAGGTCTGGCGACCGCAACGACCTTGAGCTCCAGACAGATTGAGGCCACGACCAGTAAGGCAGACATCAGACAGGCGGCAACCACTACATACTAACACGTTCTCAGTGTCCTACTAGCAGATACGCAAACAAGGCTTGCCGGTAGAATTTTCGCGCAAGCATAGAATTCTTGTGTGTCTGGAGTTCTGTAGCGTTGCCGAATATAGGCATGTTTACTGCACACATGGCCTGTTATGTTTTTTTTATATCCTGACGACTGCCCCTACAATCGTTTTTTAAACTTCGCCGTGGCAGTGTGCATAAGTTTCCGGTAGGAAGAAATTGTAGGGCAGCCCAATGGCAACTGACTCTCGCCCGAGGTGTGTACCGAAAATCGTTGATAAAAGATTGACGCTTGATTAAAGAGCAGGTAATGTTTGTTTGACGCGTAATAACTGTGCAATTGGAGATAAAGTAAAGCTGTTTGCAATTGTTTTACATAACTAAAAATGTAAGTGAGAAGCATGCGAAAAGAACGGAAAAGACAAAGAGAAACTACTATTAGTCAGTAAAGAAAGCCTATAGAAAAAGAAGAGTAAAATAACACTCCTACTGGTTAACAACACAAGCTTATATCCGAATAACACTACCAAAACAATTCCTATCACCAGTTATTTTAGTTTATTTGGCGGCTTTACAATTTATTCCTACATATTTGCCATCTCCCTTGTATATACCTTAGGGAAAATATGGCTATCACGTTTTGAATATTTTCAGTTTATCTGAACTTTTATAATCCCTGTGATGTTGTTTATAATGTCCATTTCCTCCTTCAGCAGCACGAGAATGTCACTCACTTTGGAATACTGGTTAATTTTTCAGCACATCCATTCCAATCTTTTTTTAGAGTATGTGCGTGTCTGTACATGTGTACAAGCGCTTTTAAGAAAGACGGCTAGGTATAAATAATTAGTGAGACCACCTAGTGCTGATATTATTTGCTCCAATAGTCTCACTCATCTACGTGTTTGCGTTATTAACTAATAGGAATGTTCTTTTAGTTTTCTCTATTTAAAGGCTTTCTTCTTTGACCAATAAGAGTTATTATTTGTCTTTTTTCGCATGCTTTTGATTTATATTTTCAGTTCAGTAAAACAATAGCGAACGGCTTTACTTTATTTCCTACTGCGCACATTACTTGATCTTTAATCAAGCGTTAATCCTCTACCCACGAATTCCATCATACCATTTGGCTGGAAAACGTTTGCGATTGGGCGGCCCCCGGATTTATTCCTATCGTTACTCCTATGTCCAGGGCTGTTAGTCAACGTGGCCGACATAAAAGGTCAGCTGATGGACATAAATATTCCGTTGGCGTCTTTCGAGTAAGTCCATTAACGTTTCCCTTGCCAAGCTGTTAGGAAAACGGACAACTTACAGACCGAACAGTTACTTACTTTCTACAAGAATATGCACCAGGTGCGGGTAAGACTGATTAAAGTTTATAATACATTGGAGTGGATCACCACCACCAAATCTTCTCCCTTGCACTTCCCACTGTGCACGGTCGAAGCCAATTATAAACTTATTGATAAGCCACTTATCAGGGACTGGTTCGCAAACAAGGTTGTATGTGTGTATTGCTGCAACTGTATTGAGAGCAAGCAAGTGGTCGACATAGGTTGTCGAAATAAGGCAGACTTCAAATGGAATCCCCCGACTGTCCTACTAAGCCCACTGATTTTTCATACTTTTTGTTGGGCTGGTGGATCCGAGGACAGACCGTCGTTCATTGCCTGCACATTGTTACAGATCTTCAGAGGTAGGACTCATTTCTCTTTATTGACTCGTACAGATTCTTTCGACAAAATGCCCGTTTCACCAACTGCATTAGTGATGAAGTACGACGAACGGTCATTCATTACTTGGATTGGCCGAAGGAACGGTAGGGAAGGCGATCGAAACAGCGCCGCAATATCCACCAGGCAAAGATTTGCTTTAAATTATCTTCCACGTGCATTCGGGTTCCAGGAGTCCTTACCGGTAACTCCATATGCCCACAACTATGTTTTCTCAAGGAAACGGTAAGTGGACTTATAACAATATTACTCATAGAAAAAGTGTTGCCTACTTTAAGCATTTAAACGCTACTTCAATAGGTATTTTCTGCCATACATAATTAATTACTTACATTTTCATGCATTACGTACGCCTTGTCAGAGCTCTCTTCCTCTGCGAAAACCACCAGTGACCAATGAAGTTCATCCCTCTCCTTCGATCCACGACTGCATGTATATATATTTCCTTTAATTTTTTTGAAGTTGCAAATGTTTAGAAAACGTCCTTTGTAGAACTGTCGTCTATTTCCATTTTCGATGCTACACAGTAAGTGCTACGTTAGGTGTTCGCATGAACTGCTTGTCTCTGCATTTGCCATTGCATTTTCCGCTTATTTAGGAATGCGGCGAAGGTAAACGAGGTATCTGGTGTTGCATGTCAGTGTGCTGCAGAAATACGCGAAGTTGCCAAGTCTTGAGTTGGTACCGTTGACATTGATCTGATGAGTGTTAACTTCCGCGGTGGGTGACGGGTGATGCATGATTAACATCTTGTCCGTTTTGATGTCTAGCCCAAAGCAGCGAAGAAATCCCCACCCCCTTGCATGCCTTCTTCCGTCGTGGTGTTGTGTAATCCATCGTCGGC